CTATAAACTTGTCAATGCAGGTGTTGAGGAAGTAGTGGAATGTGTTTTTGACTCTTTCAAAAAAGGTCATCTTGTCAGATACGGCATTTCCAGAAGTTGGGACATATGACGTTGGAGATGGAGCTATAACAAAATGGCCATCCCCACTGGTCATACATTTAACATTAAAAACAACTGGAAGCTTTAGTTTATGGGCCACTATAACTCCAACAGGAAGTCCAGGGTCCAAAAGAACCAGGTCAAAATTAGAGTCACTTATCTTCGACATTAGAGTCTTGTTCTCAAATATTTCTACACCTAACAGACTAGCTTGTTGGTAGATTTTTGATACAGAACCTAGCACTTCCCAGTAGAACTTCAAGACAGCCATGAAAGACGTCCCCTGTTTTTGGATCTCCAGTATCTTGACCAGGAAAGTTACAAAGAAGTCCTGCTCCTCTATGCAGACAGCCTCTGGTAAGGTGACAGTGATGGAGCTGTAATGTGGTGCCTCTTCTTTGACATACCAGCTAGTGGCTGTGCGGACCACAGTGACTTCATGGCCTTTGGCATGGAGGCTCTGGATCAGCAGGTTCATGTTCAACCAATGGCTGCCATCAACGGGGAACACCAGAATCTTTCCACCCTGGACAGGACTTACAGTTAAGGACAATGTCGTGCCCAGAAGAAACAGAGAAACTCCTGGAAAGCTCCCCATGGATCAAGTCTGAGGAAAACAAAAAAAAAAAAAATAATGATTATTTCAATGATGCCTAAATTAGAACTTGAATTCCTTCTAAGTTATTTTATGAGCTTGTCTTCACTCCTGGCTATGCTACAGAACCCACTGGATTAGACCATTATCAAAAGGGGGCTGTCACGCCCAACTTTTCTGTACAAAAAGAAAAAAGAAAAACCAAGCTCAACACAGGACTCTAAGCACAGCTCCGAGGCATAAACCCTCATCTTTACATGAATTTTCAAGGCACTGTGGGGAGAAATTATTCCTCAGCAGCCAAACTTTTCTTCAATATTCAACGGTACATTATGATGACCGAATAAGAATTCAGGTATGAATATATTAATTAACTACTGGGCAATCATTAGGTGTGTCTCCACCCATCCATCTTCTTCCACTTATCCAGGGCCGGGTCGTGGGAGCAACAGGCCAAGCAGAGAAGCCCAAACCTCCCTCTACACGGCCACCTCCTCCAGCTTGTCCGGTTGAACACCAAGGCGTTCCAAGGCCAGCTGAGAGATAAAATCTCTCCAGGATCTCCTGGGTCTGCCCCTGGGCCTCTTCCCATTCCAGAACACCTAACCCAGGAGACGCCCAGGAGGCATCCTTGTCAGATGCCCGAACCACCTCAACTGGCTCCTTTCGATGTGGAGGAGCAGCAACTCTACTCTGAGCTGTTCCCGGATGGCCAAACTTCTCGCCCTATCTCTAAGGGAGAGGCCAGCCACCCTTCGGAGGAAGCCCATTTCTGCCGCTTGTATCCCAAATCTCGTTCTTTCGGTCACTACCCACACTTCGTATCTATAGGTGAGGGTAGGGACGTAGATCGACAGGTAAACCAAGAGCTTCGCTTTTACACTCACCTCTCTTACAACAGACCGGTACAGCGTCCGCATCACTGCAGCCAATCTCTCTTCTCCCATCACTCATGAACAAAACCCCAAGATACTTAAACTCCTCCACTTGGGGCAAGAACTCCCGGGACAAGGTCAGGGACGAGTTCACTTTTTATTTTCATGTTTCTACTCTTCAGTTTTTACTTTTCAACTTTTGGGTGTATCATTGTTGGGTCTACCTTACAATATAAAATGCCTTGAGGTGACTGTTGTTGGGATTTTGTGCTTCCAAAATAAATAGAATGCTATAAAAGTTATAAAAACAATGCATCTAACTACTGCACTCAGTTACTTTAAAACCATAGTTAGTGTGTTTCTATCCACTTGTGTTATGTACATTTTCACTCAGCTGGGAGATCTGCAAAATGTTAGTGTAGGATATCAGTGTGTGTTATCTAAAAGAACATATAATACTTGTTTCCAGTAATACCAGCAACAGCTCGTCCAAAAGACTGCACAGAAAACACGTTTGAAGAGTCAAACATGTCTTATAATCGGTTTCCAGATAGCGACAGGATGTCCTTCCCTTTCATTTCTGTTGATCACAGTTAGGGTCAAGTTGGGTCATCGCTTACTCAGATAATAAAACCAAGAATCAGTGGGTTTCTTTGTAAAGGGATGTCTTTCAACATTAGAGGTTCAATCACACCTCTTTGAACTCATTGGTTGATTGGATCTTGACAACCCTTGCAGTTGTCAAGATCCATCACTGCATATTGTGTAGCTTGGACTCTGTTTCTTTGACCAAATCTATTCATAGACACGCAAAATACTTGCAAAGCCCTCAAAACCTTTTGGTGTGGTTCCCGCTGCAGGAGCTCTGTTAAGGATGACATTTTGCCATAATAAGACACATACACACACAGCTACACTGTCCAAACCAGTTAACATGAAATGTTGCAACAAATCACAGTCCAGTGGGGGGTATGTCCTGCCTGCAGTCTCTAATCTCATCATCTGCGTGTAGCAGGGACTTTCTAATAAGCTAAAAGAACACCAAAGAAGACACACACCCATGTATTCTGTTTCCTGTCTGCATGACAGTTGCTAAGTAAGCATTTTGACTCAATTAACTATTAATGCGAAGCATAGGGCGTATGAACCTACCTTCAATCCTCGAGCGTGTGGAGAAAAGTACTTTCAGACTAGTGTGGAAGAGGGGAGCTCAACTTCAGATTACATAAGAAAAGAACCCAAATCCTGATTATTGTGTTGCATAAGGTGGGAGGTGTGTGGATCTTAAATATATCCTTAATTTTAATTTGGACTCACAGTCACAACTCACAAATGAGCGGCAAACAGCCACAGCTCTTCCAAACATCCAAGTTTTATTTTGGATGCTCATATTATTTAACTTTGCAGAAAAGAAGCTAAATTATTTCACAAAAAAATACCAGGGTCCCAATTCTGAGCCTCCCTGCTGCTAATAGGGAGTTGTGTAACCTTTTTACTGGATAACAGCCCACAATCATTTCAGCAATCCCAGCTTATTCTTCTTTCTTCAACCTCTCAAGCTCCTCCATATTTGAAGTTCTTATGGCATGGACTTTAGTCACCCCACAGTTTTTAAGTAGGACTCAGGTCAGGGCTTTGTGTAGGCCAGTCAAGAAAGTTCAACTTTCACATCCTTCCTTTTCATGATTCCTGCCACCTTTACAAGATTCCCAGTTCCCACTACTGAAGCATCGCCACAGCATAATACTTCCACAACCGTGTTTCACCCTTTTTATTTGGCTTGTACACCTCTGCCTTCTTTCTCCAAGAATAAGCAGCAAAGGTCTCCAGTTTAACCTCTCTTCTCCAGGTTGTCCACATACTTCAGTCTGGCTTGAAGGTGTCTCTTCTACAGAAGCTGAGTTTTTCTTGGTCGGCAACCTGACAGTCTATTACTGTTCAGGGTTCTAGACATTGTCATCTTTGAGGCTACAGTGGGCTAAATCATGCAACATTGTCTCTGAAGTTGTTCTGGGGTCTTTAAACAAATTTCTCACTAATTTTCTTTCCAAAGTCTTTGAAATCTTGTACGTCCTCCCTCTGCCAGGTGTGTTCTGTACTATGTGGCTCTTGATTTTGATACATCTTATTTCAGTTCTTGACACTTGGAAACACTGAGATAATTTTATATATCCATTTTCTGCTTTGTGGGTGTCAACAATTCTTTTTCTTGAGTCTAAACTGATGTCTTTTGTTTTTGGCATAAAGCTCAAACCCTTGGTGGGTTTTTTATTCTGTGACAACATTTTTAGGTAACGCTCAGACTGAGTTTGAACATTACCAAGTCAAAGCGCATCATTGAACAGCAGTGGGTTTTGCCATGGTTCAATCTCCTGAGGCCTGATTATATTGATCATGGAAATTTTTGTTTTTCTGAAATAATTCTGTTATTGTGTATAAATAAATACAAATTATTGAAGTTTTTGAAAGAAAACTAGTATTTTTAGAAGTGCTGTGTGGAAAATATTTTATCAATTAACGAAGCTCTTCATTGGAAAGGTTGATAATTTTGTCCTCATTTGTACTTTATATATGACAGTGAATGCTGAAGTTCTTATTAATAGCCTGTTATTGATTATTAACAGTCTAATGGAAATAAAGCACAGTTTACTGTAAGTGGCTGCAGTCAGAAAAGTTAGCAACATGGCAGATTTGGTTGGATGATCTTATAACTGAGCAGCTCACAGCATTAATAAGGTCAAGGTAATCTGTGTCCATCCACTCTTGTCTGTTGCTGAAAGTGAAATGTAAACGAGAC